CCCCCGGGTTCCCCCCCCCCCCCCGGCTACACAGTTTTTAAAAGCGTCTATCTGCCTACGCAATACGGCTCTCCAAATGAAAGAAATTTCAGCAGTTTGATGATAGTCGTACAGGAGGAAAAAAATTGCTTGAGGAAAGTGTCATTTCCATTGCATAATTCCTCAAGTTCATTAGACAATAAGCATGCCTACTGAATATTTAATGGATTTTTTAATTGGTTAAAGGAGCTAGTACGAGGATATTGCTATTTTAGGTCCATGTTTGCTCCCGTAGAGTTATGAAGAAGATATAATAGTAATAATAATAATAATAATAATGATAATGATAATGATAATGATAATGATAATGATAATGATAATGATAATGATAATGATAATGATAATGATAATAATAATAATAATAATAATAAGTTTTTTGGATAGCATTAAAACTTGCAAATGTTGGCTCAACTTTTTCAAGTCAATCCATATTCATCCTTGCCAACCCTTTGCAAAGACAACAGGAAACGTTTTCAACGCTTAAATGTCATGTAATGTAAAAAAAGTTAAAACAAAACTGGACCATTGTTTTTCGAAATCAATTAATGTAAAGAGACTGTTTATCTGTTTCAAAACGATATTAGCAAATAGCGTGAGGTAGCCCCTTGAAATGAGTAACAGCTTCTGTATATGTATTTACAGTCTTTTTAGAGCGATTTTCGTATGACCTTAAAATGAACACACGAGAACAAAACAGAACAACAAACGAAGGGAAATGGAGCGATTTGATTGGTTTATCGAACGGATACAAACCGGAATGGCTTTTGGTTGGTTAAGGAAACGTTCGGGTGAAATTAAAACCTTCATGCCCGAGAACTTTCTAGAAATCAATTGATACTTCGCTTTAACATCATACTGCAACACGATTGGCCAATCGAACAATGTCATCTGCATATTAGGGTTTTCTTTAGCGGGAAAACAAAGAGTCTATGTTTTGATCTTTGATAAAACAAATAACGAACACTTAGCCGAAACCATTTTTCGAGGTCATAGGAAAATCACTCTACCCATCTAAAGTTAGTAATAACACTATGCATTGAACTACTGTTTTCAAGAGATTTTGTTTCATGCAACAAAACAGCAATAGTTGACATAGTTGACTGGTCATCATTTGAACGTACAATAAAGTGTTAGACAAGGTAAATTAACGGGCTTGAAGAGGAATAGCAGCATTTTGCCTTTGTCGACGTTTTAATAATATGAGGAGAGCTCTTCTGAACTCAGGCACTCTGATTGGGTAGATAATGGGATTAACAAGCGAGTTTGTGTGGTATAGAAGAGAAAAAGATAATCTCAAGCGTAAATGTGTCAGGAAAGAAAATCTAACTAAAACAGAACGGAGAACAAAAGTATGTACAACATGTGGTAACCACAGCAGCAAAGATGCAATTGTCATTAAAAATAATGTGACAGTCCGTTTTTTTTTGTCTATTGGCCGCACCATGTGACGGAGGACGGGTTCCACACCAAAATGTTAAAGCAATGGAGGTGTAAGAAACACAGATAACAACAAGGCAAAGGAAGCAATATGAGTCCCATAAGTACAAAGGAAATAACAATTGCCAATGTTGATGCAAGTTCCCATAGAGACGTATTAACGGAAAGGGAAATACTATCATCGCAGTCAAAATCCAGACGCCCACAATTGTTACCCCGTAGGCCCATTTTTTGATGTTGCGATGCCTGAATGGACAAAAAGTCGCATGCATCCGATCTAAAGAAATTACTGCAATGCCTGTTACAGAGGTGAGAGGGAGCAACGGCCCGATCGTGGTAAACACAAGAAAAATAGGTGGCAATTTCGGCCGGATGAGAAATTCATCTGCAGATTCGCAACCGTAGAGGAGGAAATGAAATACTTCAAAGAAAGTGACACTTCCTCCAACAAACATATCAGCCACGGTCAAGTTTATAACCGAGTACATGGCACGAGTGCGAAGATTACTATTCTTTACAAAAAGAATAATTGATATGAGGTTCACTGCAACAACAGCAACAGTTATAGTAAGGGATACAGCATACCCTGTGCTGCACTTGACTGAAGAGAGCGTTGTGGAGCTCATTGTTTTCTTTTAATTCTCTTTTCTCCTCCCTTCAGAAAGAAATCGAATAAAGTTTGGTTAGTTGAAAAAAGGAAGTTAACAGTGATAATAATCAATGACAGGCCTGCACGACTCACTGCGTTATGTTGTGGTCATTGTTATGAACCCTGCCTTATATTTTTACCCTAACGAGCATGTCTTTAAGAGATTGTCCTCTCTTGTAGGATATAATTGGCGGATCTTTAAATGTGCTTTTCAGCAAAGGCTGATTTTGTATTAAGTTCCAGTTTTGCATCAATATATTTTTAAGGTTACGCACCGATGGGTGGTATGTTGTGACAAAAGGCAAGATTTGTTTGCCAGTTTTTTTCTTTTGTTGCAGAGCCGACTGTCTTTTTGCGAAGTTGACTTCTGATAAAGTTGTCTGTATCATCTCGTGGGGGTATCCGCGCGTTATGAGGCGCGATTAAAAATTCGAGATACTTTCATGGAAAGTTGTTTCAGAAGGGTTTGTTCTCAGTAGTCTGAGTGCTTCGCCTTTAACAAAACCTCTTTTCACACCCAGTGGATGGCTCGAGGTAAAATGTGTATACTGAAAGGTTTCAGTAGGCTTGTAGTGCGTACGGATGTCAAGGATCGATTCATTTCTGAAACATTCTCCTTTAAAAATAATTGTGTCGAGAAAGGTTGTCTCGTTATCTCAAATTTCAGCCGTAAATTTAATTGTAGGATGGAAGTTGTTAGCTTGTTCAACGAACAGGTTAATTTCCTTTTTGTCACTGTCCCATAGTGAGAAAATGTCATCAATAAAACGTTTCCATTCTATTGGTTTTGTTTTGCTTTGACTTATCATTTTTGTCTCAATATCGGCCATAAAAATGCTTGCAAATGCAACGGCCATTGTTGTACCTAATGCAGTGCCATGGGTCTGAAGATAATTGTTTCCAATAAATTGGAATGAATTTTCCTGAAGGATAAGTTTAAGCATTTCTTTGAGGTAGTGTGACGGTACAGGAGGGTTATTGTTGTGGAATGCCTCGTATGCTCTGCATACTGTCGTGATCCCCTCTTCCTGTGGTATTTGTGTACAAGCTTGTTACATCCATTGATACTAAGATAGTATCTTGAGAGACCTTTGTCTTTTCTATGAAGTTTACGAAATCCGTTGTATCTTTTAGATACCATTTCTGTGTTTGTGCGATGGGCTGAAGTAGTTTGTCCACAAAAAATGATAATCTTTCTGTAGGGCATTCACAGCCCGAAATTATCGGTCTTCCGACCGGATTTGGTTTGTGGATCTTAGTAAGGGTGTAAAATATTGGTATTCTTGGCGGATCTCGCGTTTGAGAAAACCATTTCTTTGTCATGTCATCAATAAAGTTATTTTGATGCAATTGTGCGACAAGCTCTTGAACTCTTTGTGATGTTTCCA